GATCAGCCAACACGTTAGACCCAGCACTGCTGCTGGCCACCAGCTTGCTGTGACATCTGACACTGGTCTGGACGAGGAGCAGTCCAAAGCTCCAGGGAACCAGGCAAAGGGACAGTGGCGTAACTAATATTGGCTTGCTCTTGTTTTGAGAGAGTGAGCAGGGCAATTAGGTGCTGAGTGAATGTGCTACATGCAACTCTACAATGAAATAATATGACATAACTCAGTATAGCAAACACTGGGTTGCTGTATTAATCGTGTGCTCATACCCATGGTCGTCAGGTGGGAGGGGCTTAGGACAGAGATACAGGAAGAGAGAGTATTTTCATTTTTGGCCTTTTACAGATTTTTGCCTACCCCAGCTTTAAGCCTGATGTGATTCTGCTTATGTAAAACATAACAAAACCTATAGACTCACAGTCCTTATGGTGCAGCGTTTGTCCAAGATGACTGCAATCACTCCTGCTGTCATGAACTGGGAGCACACACACACACACACACCCAGGAGACAGAAGACAGTCAGCGCAGAGGAACATTGCATTACATCACAATATTAAGATCCCTGTGCTCAGCTGGCCAAAGCCTTTAAAAAGTTGTGCTACAAGTTATCGTTTATCTTAGGGAGACATGATATCATTAGAAATCTAAATGAAGTCAGAGGAAAAAGCAGAATAAAGTCCACAGACACACAGACTCACCACCAGTCCGCTCCACCAAGGAACTCCCAAGCGGACCACCTCAGTGATCTCAGTCAAGTGAAGAGGGATGGAGTAGGACATGATCATCAGCCCCAGCATAATCTGACTCACCTGGAACACACACACACATCAACCTTGTGACATCAGTGATCCAGGATCCAGCTGGCTAACTAGTTAGCAAGACTATTGTAAAGGATTAGGCACGGCTTGGCAAAACACCAAACACCTCCACAATGACTGTATCATCAAGCTGATGTTGAACTAAACACAGCAGCTGCACTGGTCCCATTAGACAGCTCTCAGTGTGAAGGTGTGGACATGTGAGGCTCTCGATGCGGAGGCATGTCTTCGATGGTATACCATGGACGGTGGATTGCCCCCTCCGGGTTGGGAGAGAGTTACTTTCTCAAGCGAGGGAAAGTATACCAGGGACTTGCTCACGAGTGCGGGTACAATGGAGTGTAAGGTGGAGTGGCATTTTGGTGCGGCTTCTGCAGTGCTGCGAGTGCTGAGCTGGAAGGGGAAGCTTTTGATTTACTGGTCCATCTAGGTCCTAACCCTCACCTATGGTCATGAGCTCTGGGTAGTGACCGATAGAATGAGGTCGCGGATACAAGCAGCTGAAATGAGTTTCCTCAGGACAGTGGGTGGGCTCAGCCTTAGAGATAGGGTAAGGAGCTCTGACATCCGGAGGGAGCTCGGAGTAGAGCCGCTGCTCCTTCGCATCAAAAGGGGTCAGTTGAGGTGTTTCAAGCATCTGATCAGGATGCCTCCTGGACGCCTCCCGTTAGAGGTGTTCCAGGCACGTCCCACTGGTAGGAGGCCCCAGGGCAGAACCAGAACATGCTGGAGGGATCACATGTCTCATCTGGCCTGGGAACACCTTGGGGTCCTCCAGGAAGAGCTGGAAAGCGTTGTTGGGGAGAGGGATGTCTGGGGTGCTTTGCTTGGCCTGCAACCCGGCCCTGGATAAGTGGATGTAAATGGATGGATGGAAGGAGGTTCTGTTCTCAGCACTTTATATTTTGGCTTCATAAAACCTGAACCTTCAGAAGGAGAAGATAAAAAAAATCTTTTTGACAAAAATAAAAACTGAACTCTGATCACTTAAAGGTCCAGTGTGTATGATTTAGGGGGTTTTAGTGACATCTAGTGGTGAGAATTGCAGATTACAACCAGCTGAAACTTCTCCAGGTTAGGTTTCCTTTAGCGTTCATTGTTCAGGTGGTTTTTATCAGGAGTCGAATTATCCACAGAGGTATCTTCCTCTCCAAAACAAATGGACCCATTAATAACAACCAATAAAAACACGGAATAAATCAGTCTCACGTTACAAATCAGTGTTCCGCCAAAGCTGTTCGACATGTTGTAGATGTGCACTGCAGTACCAGCATTAGTCCCCCCTAATCATAGCATATTAGGATGGGACTTGGCAGGAAAAAAGATACCACTTAAACAATGGAAACTGTAAAGAGATTACAGCCTGCAGAGATGAGCTGGTGAAATTGTGAGTTTACATATTAGGAACCTATACTGCCCAGTTCCTTTTAATACTGATGGGATAGTGGCGTCAGCACAAAGTTTCACTTCAGCTGCATGCCCCATATAAGATAAATGGTTGTGGTTGGTCCAGCATGTTTCAGGCCACTGGAGGGGGACCAGGCACATCTAACAGAGCAAATAAAACACAAGTTCACAGATGTCTGGTTCCCAAGCATTCTCTTCCTTAAATATGAGCAAAGCTTGGTCGTTTCCTCAATCGACCCCTACAAAAAAACTTTCACTCGTCCCTATACAGCTCCGTGTGGTTTCTGTGTGGGAATGTAACTAAACTCACACAGTGACAGAGATTCCTGGACTCACCCCCAAAGATTTGGGCTCTCCTCTCTGGATAGCAGCGCGCAGAGCCTGCTGTGTATCAGTCAGCTTGGCAGCATTTGTATCCTGCAGCACCTGGACCGTCAGATCCCTGGAGACTGCCACCGCCATCACCTGCAGAGGAGAGCAGAGCCCACTTACCAGCCTGCAGCATCATCTTACAGATCACACAAAGGACAACTCCAATGTAACATTTTTTTTAACATTATCAAAAAATATATTCATAACAATGCTCACAGAGTATTTTATATAAAATGCAAATAATAAAATCTCTTAAATTAATAAATAAATCAGCTTGTACTTTGCAGGCAGATTGTTAAACACATGAGAACTCGACTGAACAAATTTCATCTGCCTAAACTTCCAACGTAAACATCATCGCCCACATTCATTTCAGATTTAGGACTTTTTTAAAGAACTATACCTGTAATTCTCCATGTTTGACCCAATTTAGTCCAAACAACATAATGGCTAATTGTTTAGCACACCATATAGCTGTGCTTTAGAAATTCAAATGCTTTTTTGTCACCTTTGCAGGCAACCACTGGTTTCCATTTATTTTTATGTGATGTGAAAGTCACACAAATTAATGCAAGCTTCATGTTCAACGTGACTAATGACACAATTTAGGCAGGCAAGCAGTCTCTTGATTGACTGTCTTCTTGCACAGAGGTGGGTGGAAACCAATGAGTGCCTGGAACACTGGGATACACTGCTAATACACATTGGTATCATCTGTTGAGCTGGTTCACATTTTCTATGTTCTTTGTTTCTAATATGACATCAGGAGGTGGAGGGGATGGTGGACAATGTGATACTACTATTGTCAAACAGCACCAGTTGTTTATTACCAAGCCATTGCTGTGTTTCCAGCTGGGATTGTGCCACCAAAACAAATTCAAGGCCAAAACATGATCTTTTTTTTTAACCATAATCAAGTTGTTTTTGTGCCTAAACCTAACCACAGGTTGTAAAGTTTAAATGTATCCACTACATTATAATGTAACTTACCCACGGTCTGCAGAAATGTACCATACCAACATTTATTCTAGCGATTGGTTTAGCTTTTGACGGCTCTATGTTCACAGTTTTCTAACATGATACATGACATATGGTTGCCCCACTAGTAGAAACAGATTTGTGTATTTTGTAGTGTTGCTGCTTTTGGCTGGTTCTCATAAAAGCACAGGACCATTTCATGAGGAATAATCTTATTTTTCTCTTTCTGCTATCAAAGTGTTGCTCTCTCTTTAATGACACAGGTTGATTTCCCAAATGTGGGTGATGTTAGACAGTGTCACAGATGACATTAGGATTTGATTCAGTCACTCAGGTGCAAAGAATAGAAAATGATAAGAAGCAAGAATAAGAGTATGAAATAGAAGTATGTAAATATATAGCAATAAAACAAATTAAAATGAAAAACTTAAAATCTGCATTATGCTACAGTGTTTAACACTAGTACTTAAGATATTAAAAGTAAGTAAAAAATAAAATATATATAATCACTGTGCTGAGGCTGTATGAAAATGTAACTACAATATATACATCAGTAGAATAAAACAACATTAGCATACAAGTAAACAAGAAATATGTAGTTATGTGCATTGTATGTTTAATAAATATATACATTCAAGAGGTGAGAAATATTGCACAGTATATCCAATTCCTATTGAAAATCAAATAATGGCAGAGGTGTGATCCAACGTTACTGTGCAACAATCAAATCAAATACAGTTGGAGGTAGCACCAGTCTGATGATGATAAGGTCTCCGTTTTATATGAAACACAAAACCGACTGTCAGTGCCATGAGCCCCTGACTCCACCATCTCCCACCTCTGCTCCAGGCAAACTTCTCCCATGTGCGTTTGAATCCAGTCAGAGCTTTACGCAGCACTGTTACTACTTCTATCATCATGCAGCCGCAGTCTAGATGATCGTTAACGTTTACGCGCACATTACGCACGATTTGATTAGAGCGTATTGCGTAAGCTCGTCCCCCATTTGACTTGGGCTGAAAGCCACGGTGTTTGGGAAAAGCTGGTACCGTGCGCCTCTTCACTGACACAGCCTATCAACAAATCATCTCCTTAATCACCACATCATTCTACATATATAAAAAGATTTTACGCACAGTCTTAACACCAAAGCCCCTCACTCTGACAGTAACAACAAACATTTAAGCTGCTGTCTTAGTTTATGAGAAGACACAAAACAGCTCATTCCTACCTTTTTTTTCCCCGAGATAAGATTATAAATGTGTCCTCCTTTTAGGTTTAGGCGTCTATCGACCACTCTGTGTCCTCTGTTTTTTTGCAGGCGGATGCGTGCGGGGACGTGTTTATTAGAGAGGGAGAGTGGGAGTTTGTTCTCCGTCTATGGATGAGAATCAGCAGAGCTCCTCCTTCCTTAGTTTCGCGCATTCCAGAAGTCATCTTGTTGTCCGGAGTTTTCACCAATAAAGTTAATCTGAAGAACCGTTTCCTCGGTGTGGCAGCCTCTACAGACCCTGTTGGTATCATCGAGAGACGACTCAGGCATCCCTGCACTGGAAAACATTTAGTCGATGTAAGTAAATCTCTGCTTCATATATGTGACACTGTTTTTTATCATTTAAACGTTAGAAAGGTAAACAGACAATAATAAGTGGTCTCGTGCTTTCTTTAAGTAGGACACTGACGCATTTTCTATTGTGTTGGTACAATGGATACCACCATTATCACCACTACCATTATGCGATTATTTGGAGTTAAACTCTATGGTTGGGTTTTAGAGATTAAAAAAAAAAAAAGTGGCGTTAATTTTCTAGTTTGGTGTTATTAAACTATTGCAGAAGAAGAGGGCGCAACAGGATGACGTAGTTAAATGGGAGATTTTTTTAATGCACTTTCAATACCTGTGTTTTGGCCACTCTGTCTGTACCCATATGTACTCTCTTACTGTCTGTGTGCATGTACCCTGTCTGTATCCAGATGTTTATAACTGGCTATCACGAAAGCCAGCTGTCTTATTTTTTCTTATTCTATATTGTCCTATGTCATAATAAGAATGATAACACATGCTGGAGAAGCTATTGAGCACAGATATAAATACAGGTGTGCCTTGAGATGTTTGGCTTGCCCTTTGGTGTGCCTTGTGCACAAGAAGTTTGAAAACCACTGATGTAACAGAATGCAATTTTCGAATTGCAGAAGCTGTGATTATTACTACACAATCAAACCAACCAGGGGATTGGAAACACTTGGCTCTGTGAACTTCACATGCACACACGTGCTGCCTTAGGCTCCATGTGACATATATGAATGAGAGCAGATGAATAAAATAACCTGTAAAATGCCACGCCACTCACAAAATTTGTTGTGAGCAGCACCACCCTGTGAAAATAGTAACATTAAGTGCAATCCACATGTTTACATATTACCTTTTGGTGTGAGAGTAGTGCAACTATTTTAGGGAGTAGCTCAGTGCATGATGTATGCATGGACATGGCAATAGGAGCAGAAAATTGAGAAGTGGTAGTAAATGCACAGTGCAGGTTTCAGCTCGAATTAACACCGCAACTCCTCAAGACCCATGTAAAGTTCCTGTGTCTTGCTTCCTTCAACTGTTGGGTAAATTTAAGTGAAGTGAGCATCAATGTTGGCCCTGACAACAAAACAAAGTCTCCCCTGTGCTTCCTGACTACAGTATGAAAGCTGACTCAGTAATGTTTACAACAAGGCTTTGAGTTATCTAAATATTTTTCAACCCAGTAGCAAGAAAAAATGTTGCCATTGTATGTATCTGCAAACCGCAGAAATGTAACTATTGTACATAAAGTGGATATGTTGAAACTTAACATTTCAAAAAAAGCAGTGGTTAAGGTGTGGTGTTTTTTTTTTTTTAGGCACAAAAACACTTGCTAATGGTCAGGAAAAGATCATGTTTTGGCTTAAAATACCTGCTTTTGGTGGTACAATCATCACTGGAAATGCAGCCATGTCATGCTTAAAAGTGTTTGCTGGTCTCAAACTGTGGTCAGCAGTGGTGTGCAGCTTGGCACATCATCCACCATTTCCTTCGCCTCCTGATGACAGTCACAGCACAACTGCACAAAGAACTGTTTTGCATGAAGCTCTTTAAAATGTTTGATTGTGGGACAAGGAACTTTACTAAGCCAGACTGTCCAGTAGACAGTTCAGATCAAAACCAGGCTATCTCAAACCCAGCCAAAAGTACAGAATCAGAGTTTTAAAAACATCAACCAAACAGTACAAAGCGTGAAAAACAGGCACACATTCACAGATAATCCCACACAGACCACTGGGGTGAACTGGCAAACACTGACAGATAACATTCAAGTATATAGAATATTAATGCAGTTGGCGGTGAGGTTGGCGGGCAGCAAGAATGATGAGGTGTGCACAGGAGGTGGACATGATGAAAGTAGATGGAAACAGAGAAACCAGCTGATTAGGGCTGGTGGATGGAGGGCTGGATGCACTGGGATCTGGAAACACACACACACACACACACAGAGCAGAGGAAAACACACAGCAAACAAGTCAAAAGCAAAAATGCTAAAATACCAACAAATTCTGCATCTAATTAAAAAAAAATGCAGTTAAACAACTTGAAAATCATCACAGAGGTTCTTGAGGACCTGTGGTACAATAATATTGTGGAGTTTGCTGATAATTGATGAAAAGTCTGTGGCCATTCAAGTTCAGAGTTTAGGAGGTGCACCTGAATGCACCATGGAATCCCCATCTGTGCATCGTTTAATAAGTGAAGAGCAAAGTGTAGATGGCATGACTGCAGTGCACAGCTGTCTAGTTAATTACAATGTAAAACTTTACTGGCGTGTTTCATGTTAATCAACGTAACTGCCTCCTAGAAGAGTTCACTTTGGGCTCCTCCATGTGACTTCAGCATGCTCCAGATAGACGAACTAAACAGAATGCCCTCTTGCACACCGATTGAACAGTTTCGCTTCCTCTGATTGGATGGTCAGTTGGCAACATGTTGATTGGCTAGTCAGCTCAGGTGTAAAATCAGGGTCAAAAGTCATGCGTGTGAGGGTACGGTCACACATGAGCAAAACAGTCTCAACATTCGCTTCTAGTGGCAAAACAAATTCACATCTTTGCATTGCATAGAGTTTGACTTTATTGAACTTTGTGTGGAGGAGACATTGACTGTTGTCAAGTTTAACCAGCTGATATTGTGTTCAATTGGCCATGAAAAATACAAACTGCCCCACAGCCTGACTGACATTGAGTCAGTATGGAGCATCAGAAAATGTTTAATGTACCATTAACATTACATTTTGCTGTTTTTATTAGCAAACTAGCTAACATTAGCTAGCAAACTCGCTTTCTGTGTCCGTCACATCAAGTACTGCCCACAGTTAGCATGAATATTACCTCAGCAGGCGATGGTCACTGGTCAATCGCTCAGAAGTAACTATGCGCTAACTCACAGCTTGTAGCTTGTAACGCCATTGTTGCATACACAGATAGGAAATTTGTTTTTCCATTATTAAGACTACCAGTTTCAGGGTATTCCATGATGTAAAAGTTGACAGTTATCATACTGTGTACATTAGCTTATTGCTGATGTTTAAGAAAAAGCAACTGGTTGTTGAATCTCCACTTTATTTTAGTTATTTTCTGAGGGGAGACTTATTACACATACTTCCATAAACAAAATGGTTTCAAGCTTCAATTATAGTAATAAAACATTTGTTCAACCAACAGTTACCCTTCCATTTTCATTCCTTTAAGGCTTATTCTGACTGATAATAATATCAAATCTGTAATACTGTGAAACTGCAATATTATCTGAGCTGGTTATTGTACCGTGGAAATCTCATACTGTTGCATTTTTTTTAAATAAACACAAGAAGTTTGTGCTCTAGAGAAAGGATCAGCACTCAGTGAAAAACCTCCTAAGCCCTGCGATAAGCTATTATGGCAAGGCTTAACTATACAGACCAGTAAGCAGTGATAACTAACATGTCTTTGGGGTCATCAGGTGGGAACCTCCTTTCACCAGTGTTTTGTCTAGTTGGTCCCACGACACCTCCAGGAGGTCAGGCAGTGATCTCTGGCGTCCCAGAGATACTCCCCTAATGCCAGGTCTCACTGCTCCCCACACCTACCCAATAACCTCCTTTACCTTAGTTACACATGGCTTTCTCAGCCCAAACAGCACTGCCACCTTCAACCAAACCCTACAGCACAGACAAAAATACCGCTACAGCTGCAAAACTTTTTCACACATGTGCAAAATATTTTTTACAATGGCAAAACCTTTTTACACTTGCAAAATATTTGAACAGCTACAAAAACTTTTTGGACATGCAAATTATATCTGTATGCACACAACTTTCACAGATGCACAAAATATTTTTACAGCTGTGAACCTCTATTATACATTCATAAACTTTCATACATACAGATATAGTTTATACCTGTATGTATCCCTGTGACGCAGAGAGGTTCGCCTTGTGTACCTCTTCTCGTCTGGTGTGAATAGTCTCACAGAATAAACATGGTGTTAGTTATGTTAAGGACATGTTGATACACTTGTAAATCCCATGTAAATCCTCAACCCCCCTGAGCAGACTGCCACATTAATAACCATATGGTTAATGAAATACATCAAATGAACCGAGGGACAAATGAGTGCAGAAAGTAACATAAGTCAGTTTGTTTCTAGACCACTCATGTACAAAATGTTCCCCTCACTTCTGTGGGGCCTTGTTAATTCATTTTATTATCAACTCCCCCCTCCCCTTACTCTCAGACCCCACTCTTTTCTTCCTCTCCCACCCTTCCTCCTCCTCTCCTCTTCCTCCCACCACATCTGCTTCTCATCCTGCAGCATTCCTGTCTTTAAGAGGATTGTGACATGTGGTTCTGATGAACTAACACCCCAGTACACTCTCCTTCTCTCTGTTCCTTTTCTTCTCTTTCACTACCTCATTTTGTTCCCTGTTTCTCAGTCCCTTCCCCTCTGTCCTAACAGATACACACAGGAGAGACACACACAAATACAATTGCACAATCACAACACACACGCCTCTTGGTTTCATTGGCTTGTCGTGATCATGTGGTCAGTCTGTGTTGTTTTTTGTTTTTTTTTAATCTTTTTTTTTATGACTGCTCCTCTTCCTCTTTGATTGTTTGCACCTTTCAAACATTATTCACTAATGACAACATTTTTTTTTTTATTCCTGCAGTCCCACTAATTTTAATGAACCATTTCACTGTATCTATCCTACTTATTTTAGTGTAGGGAAATCAGATGGAACATATAGCCTGCCCTGTAACTGTTTAGTGGGCTTTAGGTTAATATTCAAACAGGTGCTCTGTCCTGTACATTGCAGATCAGTAGATCCACTATAGCTGTGTCTCAATTCAGGGGTTGTTTCGAAGGCTGCATTTGAAGACTGATTGCGTCACATCGGCGTGACCAAATCTGTCCGATTTTGAAGGCTCCTTCAAATGTGGCCGAAAAATGCACCCTTCTTTCCCAGAATTTGGAGGGTGGAACGGATGAATCCTTCATGGCCCAGCCTATCT